ATAGTTTTAGAGGCAAATAAGGAAAAGTTGTCAAACTATGTCACACCTCTTAATTATTGTTCTGTTCTTGGTACAATAGAATTCAGTTCTGCTTCTCCTATTTGCCAGGAGAATTCTAGTTGCTGCCAATGAAACAGGTCATATATATGGATTTCAGCATATTTCTTCTGTAAAGCACATTTCACTTGCTATAAGCAGGTAGCAGAATGTAACAAGGCTATCCCCAAGATGAAGCGTTGTCTGGTTGAAACACAGCTTTGCCAGACTCCATTTTGAGGGAACTGTGATAAGAAAATGTTGCTTTAAAAAGTTGGCAAAGTGCAACTAATGAATAGTTTTAAACAGATTGATAATCATCCTTGCAACTAAATCTTAGCTAGTTTTGTACATTTTAGTAAATAAGGAAGATACTATGGGAAAATATAAGCCTTGCAGGATCAGTTCTACTATTAGAGAAGTGGCTGTCTTAAGTCAGCTGATACTAGTGCCATGACTCTAGTTCAGTGGTGGTGAACCTATGGCATGCATGCCAGAGGCAGCACTCAGAGCCCTCTCTGTGGGCACGCGCGCCATGCCCCGGAGATGGAATTGTCCCTCTTCAACCAGCCGCCTGCTAACTCGCCAAGGTCCCACGTGGCCGGATACATCCCGGCACGGCTGGTTTCCCTTCCCCCCGTCCCATCCCTCCTGGCCTCGCATGCTCTCCTTTTCTTGGGCAAGGCCCACTGCATCGCCTCCTCAGCTGTCAGCCGGCCATCCATCTTAGAGGTGACTTCTTTGAACTGCTGGCGATGGGCTGCAGAGCCCCAGAGTGCGCCAGTCGAGGGGCCGGCAAGCTGTGGCTGCTGACAGACACCATCAGCCCCCATGCACTCGCTGGCCTCTGTGTGCGGGGGCCAATGGTGTCAGGTAGCAGCTGCCCCGGCCTTTGCCTTGCCCCATGGCAATGGCATCCCCGTCCTGCCTCGCCTCACTCTGCAGGACGAGCCTCCTGCCTACCGCCCCACCTGGCAGAGACCACCCTGGATCGCCCCAACCCTGCCCACCCCCACAGGTGTCCCTCCCCACAAGCAACACTGAGGTGATCACGCTCACCTTGGCCACATCCACCCAATCTGCCATAACCACCCAGTGGGCCATGACCACCTGGCACCTGGCGATAAATAAGTGGGTTTTGGGTTGCAGTTTGGGCACTCGGTCTTTAAAAGGTTTGCCATCACTGCTCTAGTTTATGGCTGGGAAGATGTGCTTGTGGAATCGGAAGTGCCAAAATAACTTGCATCTTGATTAAAGACAGCATGATGTGCCATTTGCTGCTTTGTCTCAGGAAGCAAATTGTTTTGAGCCAATCCTAAAGTCCTGAGTGCAGAAGTTCAATTCCAGTTCCAGATGTATTGTTCTTAAACTAGACATGCACCACCTGTGACTGATTGCAGTGTTTGTATACTGACATGTATTTCAATTGTCACTCACTTTTCCCTATGTGCTTTTGCAACCTAAAGAAAGTTGCGAAAATAGAAAACCTATCAGGCCTTGGTGAGTTACCTTAGATAATTGGTTGATCACAGGCTTGCTTGGATGGCTTTGAGACCATTGTCTTCCTTCCTTCGATTCTAAAATTGATCTTCTGGGCATGATTGTCTGGTTAGCTTGAATCATCTCAATGAATATTGATCTTCATATGCTTTTAGCTGGGAGACTGAGTGGAAGATTATAGAGGGGGACATTCACTACTTTTAGAAATGCCTGAAAGATCACTTGAACCTAAACTTTGATTTCTTTTTCCACTTCATCTGCAGAAGAGACATACCAACAACTAGCCAGAGAGACCTTGGAGGAGCTAGATTGGTGTCTTGACCAATTAGAGACCATTCAGACCTATCGCTCTGTCAGTGAGATGGCATCTAACAAGGTAAGGAAGAGTGCTCAGCAGATGCACCATGGTGTCCAGGTCAATATTTTGCCTGTTATTAGCTCCACCCTAACATCCGTCAACTTTGAAATGTATACAGCCAATATTTGTCTTCTCTATGATAATTTTATTCTATATATTATGGCATAAATTATATATAGCGTGCATCGTATTTGTGTTACAAAGCCAAAATATTGCAACATGGAATGCCTGCTGACCCATATCATCCTTTGAAATGTTTCAGCCCCTTTGACTTTCTTTTATGCCTGTTCTCCAGTAATCGGTCAGCATCCACGGCAGCTAAGTTTATGTAGTCACATCTTGGAGGGTCGGTTTCCACTCCAAACATTTGCTTACACTCTTAAAATTTCCCTAAACTTGTTGATGTTGTGCTTGAATGGTTTATTTTAGCTATGTAAGCTGAGACATGCTCACAGCCTGACCATCAGGAAGATAGGGAAATACAAAAGATATTTGTCTGAAAGTGTAATAGCACTTTTGTCCCCTCACTGTTGTTTCCAAAAACATTTATAGGATCTGATTGTCTTGAATTCAGGAGTTACAGAAGTATAGTGATTTGTTCTTTATCAACTGAAAATGGAGTTTGTGGATAAAAATTCATACTCTTAAGTAAAGTTAATAAGCACTGTTGGTTCATCTGCTGGAAATTAACACAATTTTTCAAGAAAATCTCTCCAGATGTCTCTCTGAGGACTTGTAAGATGGTTTAAAGTGGATGAACAGTGGCCACAGAAATGTAAAATTTTAATGATATTGCACATTAATTCATTTTTTAATGAAAGTGAATTAAATAAAGTTATATTTTGTCCTGTCAGCATTCTTTTTTTGGTCATTAGTAAATTGTTCAAGGTCCAAGGACGGCACCCTTTACCTGGAGAAGATTCATAGTCCTAATGTGTAAAAGACGTTACTAACCCTGTTGTGGAGTATGTTGTCACTTACTCTGAAGCAATTTTTCTTCTGGGGAAAAAAAAAGAACTAGAAGACCATGTTTATTTTGGATTTAGTTTAATCTTGAAGTTAAATAAGTTATCCCAGAAGGTGTTTGCTGCCTTTAACTTGTTACTAGCCTAGTTTAAACAGATTTAAGTGAACTCTTACTGTATTGGCACTCCATCCAGGCAACAGGGATGCCTGCCAGCAAGTCAGACAGACCTAACAAATGCAGTAGGATGTTAGCTTTTCTCTATAAATGATAAATTAATATAACTTGGCATTAAATATCCCACTCTGCTGCCAGCCCTTCAGGGTAGAGTAGGTCAGGAAACGGACATCACAAGAAATAATAGAACACTGTTATATCAAGCTATAATAATATATTCTTAAAAGTCTGACAGAGTTTGTCTTTTCCTTCCTCTTATACTAAACAGAATTAAGACAGGCCATTCTTGTGTTTCTTTCTCACCTGCTCCTGTGTTTCTGAGCTAAGCTGATATTTTTGTAATGGTTGCTACATAGCTTCTTTGGGATTTTCTCTGTATCCTCTACATCTGCCATTAAATGGTTTCTTTGCTGGGGCATTATTTTTTTAAAATATCTGCTTCCCCCTTTTCCAGCTTGGATCTTTCCCAGTATATTGAGATTGAAACTCCAGACTTCTTATTCATGCTTTTTGGGAATCTGGGAATTTGCAATTCCCAGTGCACCTGAAGGATCTCATGCTAGGAATAAGGCTCATGAATCTTTGGAAAGTTTCTACACAGCTTTCATACAGTTTTTTTTTTTTTTTTTGAAAAAAATACCTTCCCAAAATGCTGTTGCTGTTTCCAACACTGCCTCCCTACTTGATGTCCAATATCAAAAAGGTATCAAACAGGCAGTGCAAAACAAGATGTTTACTTTTCAATTATCACCCACATTATTAACACATGGCTGTTCAATCAGAACATTATTTTCTGGTATCTTTTTTGTAAATTTGCAATGTCTGTTATTAAGAAGTTAGATAAAAATAGCAATAGCAATAACACTTAGACTTATATACCACAGCACAGTGCTTTACAGCATTCTCTGAGCAGTTTACAGAGTCAGCATATTGCCCCCAACAATCTGGGTCCTCATTTTATCGACCTCAGAAGGATGGAAGGCTGAGTCAACCTTGAGCCGGTCAGTGGGCAAAGTTAGCCTTCAACTTTGCATTTTAACCACTGCACCTCTACGGCTCTTATAAAAACCTATAAGATAAAATAAGTTTAATTTCCTGCCTCCCTACACAGATTCATGCCTGTGTTTGAGAGAACCAGCATTTTATTCCTGTTGGCATATTTATGTTGATATAAAATAAGCATATTAAATAAGTAGAAATTGCTTTATACTAAGCAAGTGAAAAAAAGATAGGTGGCTAGGCCAGCCAAAGCAATAGAGGAAGCAGGTTGGGATGCAAGAAGAATCTGAATAAAATTTTAGGATTTTGTTCTCTTGTGATGTTCCTGGTGTAAGGAGTGCCCTTTGCCCACTTTTGCTCAATGGGAGATTGCAATCAAGTTACAGATTTGTTGTGTAAAATCCAAATAAGGTAGGCATTGGGAAGATGGAAGGAGCTGCGCCACAATCTGAATCTGCACAATGAGAAAGCAGCATATCCTGTTGAAGGGCGTCATGTCCTACCTCTGTGGTCTCTGAAGTTCAGGTTGCCATGTTGCAATCATGGAACTGACGTCAGGAGGCAGAAAAGCAGTTGATGGCAGGTGGTTCCTTTGCTGTCAGCATTGTTTAAATGTAAAAGCTACTTCCTATTAGCCATGTGGTTCTTTGATGGGCTAGCCGCTAGAGGGGTCCTTGTGGTACATGTGTAATAGGGCAGTAAGTATTTGTATGCAGGATACTGAAATGCATCTACTGCACACCAGATGTAACCATCTAGATCAGACACTGGCTTCACTGGGTGCGAAATTCTTTCGACTCTTGTTTTATTGAGTAGCACCAGTTGTTTTCAAAGAAAGGGCAGCATATAATACTCTTTCCATGTTGTGGCAGTTTCTTCTTGGTTAAAAAAAAGTTAGCAATGTATACTTCTGAGAAACAAATTCCAAATCAATAGCTGGTCAGACCAGCTGGTATTCACGGCATAGATATACAGGAAGAATATAACTAAATGCTGACAGCACAATGCTTAGGTAAATATAATATGTGCGTACTTATTAGGCTACAATCCTCACTTCTGTGACTTCCTCACTTTCATAGTTTGGACAGAGATTCTTAGCTTCTTCCTATGATCTTGTCTTCATTGCTCCAGCTTGAGATCACTAGAGTTATGTCTTTCCATGCCAAACCTGGAAATAATACTGCTAATTGTTGATCTGGTGGCTCTTGGTCAGAATAGATAAGCAGAGGCATCAGTGCCCTGCAAGAAACCCTTGCCTTTTGCTCAGATCCATGCCATTCCCACTTTGGTTGCAGAGTTGGGGGTGGGAGAGACATGGCCTCTTGCCTTCCGGTCTGTTCATCACCTTGCTTCCATTCCCAGTCCTGGCAATAAGGAATGCCTGGCTAAGGCAGCCTCCCAGAACATTAAATCTATGTCTGATGTCCATCCATTTCCTCCTTGGGGCAAGAAGATGGGGAACCTAAGTCACTGTCTGGGGGGGGTTGCGGGGAGGAGGCTAGAGCCCTACAACTGTTCTGACCTCTGGAGGTCCTGAGTTTTAAAATCTGGCTAATTTAGATCCTTGCAGAGCGGCCCTCCCCCTGGCTCTTCTCACTTCCCCCTGCTGTGCTATATTCATTTGTTCGCCTCCTCCTCCTTTGGCTAGCTCTTGCTTCTGTGTGCCTTTAACCACCTCCTCTCTCCTGCCCCTCCCCTTCCCTCCCTCATTTCCACACCCTTTCTTCTCTCTCTATCCCGCTCTCCCTCATCACCACCTGACATCATATCCCATCCACCCATTGCTGCAGTGAGAGAAGTGTGCATTCACACTCTCTCTCACACACACATATACACAAGCAGACACAGAGAGAGAGAGAGAGAGGCAGACAGACAGACAGACACACACACATGCATGCCAAGCCAGGGAACAAAGCTGCAGCTGAGGCCATACTAGGAGTTACCGTCTCCGTGGTGACCGCTGCCCTCAAATGCACACCAAAGAGATGATGGGGACCTGCCTTTTAGCAATGCAGCGCCTGCCTTGCTAGCTGGATGCATGCCATGTGGTACCCAGAAATGGCTGGGAATCTCCCTCTTGCTCCACCTGGGTGAAACCGTTCTTCCATGCAGTGACTGCCTGCTGTCGTCTTTATTTTTTCTTCTGTCTTTCTGAACTGCCGCTGGATTGTTTCTTCTGAAGATGTGACCGGAGGAGAAGGAGAGGGAGGCACATTGTCCAGACAGTTTGTGGTTGCTGATAGCTTTGCACTCTGGGTATTTGCCTCCTTGTCGGCAACATAGCCAGAGACGTGAGGCTTTCAGGTGTGGGCCTATCTGGCATATCTTCTTTAGCCACGGCCCCTTGGTGGGGAGGACCAGAGGAGGCGCAACGGAGATGTGAGAATTCCCGTGCAAGGCAGGTTGGCCAGCAAGAGCCATGCAAGGCCCAAACCTGCATGTGGAAAGAACAGCTTTGAGGAATTAACCCCTGCTTCTCCTGCCAACACCAAGGAAAGGGGACACCACCAATCAGCCACTCGTCCAGGAGGAGAAATACCACCTTGGTGGGCAACCCAGAGAGTGCTTGCTGCTCACTGGCCAAGAATAGAAGATGCCCTTAGTGGATTTTTTCTGTGAGACCTGTGCAAAACCATGGCTGGTCGGCTGGTGGGACCAGGTAATCTGGATATATCTGGGTTTTGTCTGCTTTGTTTCTGTGGATAGACACCGTTGGGAAGGGAGTATGCATGAGCTTTTGGATAGCTAGCCTTTGATCTGATTTCACTGGCTCGGGGAGATAGATCAAGGGGAACCAAGAGGGAGCCTTATATCAGCTGCATACTTAATCTTACTAAGAGGACACGGGACATGTCTAGTGCTGCAAGCATCTCTCTATAAGCATGCATCCTGATAAGATCAGACATGGGCACAATCAGTTCAGGGTCCTGCTTGCAACAGTTTGTGGGGCGCTGTGTCAGTCAGGAGAGTCTAGAGGAGACCTGTGTCCTTCCTGGCAGCCTACAATGTCAGACTGCTATGTGCCCTGTCCTGTGGCTAAACAGACAGGCAGCCCTCTGTCTCCAGTACTCCGTGATTTGCAAGCAACAGAGGAGGACCCTCATATAGGGTGCCCTCTGTCAAATACGATCACTATATTTGAGTACTGCTTGGACTAGCATAGGTTACCTCTGAAACATGGGTTGTAGTACTGTTTTCTCTGAGCTTGTGGGAAACATGCCAAACAGTGCATGTTTGGGATGTGTTGTTATCTTTGTGGACATACTTGGCTTGAGGCTGCCTTTCAGGGACTTTGGTGATAGTTTATTGTGATTGATGCAGCCTTTGCAGACTTTACCTAGCCTGAAATAGTGAAGATTTTCATTGTTGACTGTCAGATGGGATTGTAGAGGTCAGAAAGAGTTTCTGAGTTTGCCCTCTATTTCCTGGGCTTGATTCATTTGTTCCATGTGTGAATTTTAAAAAGAGAGTGGGGCCTGATACTTTAGAATAGATGCTTACACTTTGTATTGGCTTGGAGAGCATATGCTTCTCTGTATAAGCTAGAGAGCTTTAGGAATGAAACGCTACTGTGATCTTGTAGAGGTCAGTCTCAATGTGGTGTTTTCGTCTTGGATAAGGGGTGCATGGCTGCCAGTGCCTGCACATGTGTGTGCTTCAGCAGGCTATGTGATGTTAAAAGGTTAACAGTGGAACTGTACATATTCATGTGCTATGTTGTCTGTGTACAGAGCTCAGCTAGAACAGTGTGTCTGCAGGAGAGGGCAGTATGCCAGAAATTTGTGGGTGTGTAATATTGGGCGTGGTGGGGTAGAAATGTTTATTGAGCTCCATTTCTTTAAACTGTGTGTAGGTGTCCGTTCACGGACATTGTTTTTCTATGTTAATAGCAGAAAAACACTCTCTGTAGTAAATTCCTGATCTGACCATTGGAGACCGGAAGTTGATATTTGTCTAGTCCATAGAGTTGGATAAACTGGGGTTTAAAGGCAGTCCTTCAGTCTAGGCTTTGAGTTGGCCTTATATATTTCTGTTTTCCTATTTTTCCTATTTTCCTCTATTTTTGTCAGTCTGTCTCAAAATGGAAGAAGTTGAAGAAAGAGACAGCATAGGAAAGCTTTGGTGAAACTGTCGCTCATGTTACCCGTGCAGAGCAATTGAGCATCAAAAATTTTCTTCCTTAGGCACCTTGTCAATGACTGCCACCCCCAAGACTGTCTCTCCCAGGATCCCAATCCTTAGGGATTCAGGGCACTCCCCTTCCCCCAAAACATCCCATAATAACCCTAATTTTCTCAGATTGAGTGCCAGGTCCAATACTAAAATACTGTGAATAAATATATTGTTTTTCATTCTGTGATTTGTAGCCTGGCTGAAGGATTTCATTTTCCCTTAATTTCTCAGGTTTTAAAAAATATTTTTAAATACCATATCTTATAGAGTAGTCAGACATTGAGCAAATCTGACCATGGTGGCATTTCCTCAGGCTATCAAGCAGAGCTGTTCTGGAGGTGGTAGCAGCTGTGTTAAAGTAGAACTGAAAATCTCAGAAGTTTTCTGGTGTTCTGGTATTTCTGCTTTCCCCATTCAAATTCCAATGCAGAGATAAAAGATTTCAAAAGGGATTTCCTTTTAACTGCAAAACATTAACAAAAAAGACACATGCATGATTCAGAGCAGGATCTGTGCATCCAGTGACTCATGGGTAGGTGCAGCCTGTGATAACAACATACACTTTAGTCATTAACCCATTTTCCTTCCTCTTTACCCAACATCACTCAGCATCTCTGCAAGGCTTTGTGCCCCTTTGCTGTTGAACTTAAAATCAGCTTTTTGTCTTCCGGGGTCCTTTACATGTGCTGGAATTACAACATACATAATTGTCAGCCCGCAATTATTATTAAAATTATTAGTCTTAGCAGGGCATTATTCCTCTGAATAGCTATCAAAATATTGATCATTGCGGATCAGCAGGAAGTTCCTATACATTATTCTTTTCCAGTCCAGCATTCTTGCGTTCAAGCTGCGGAGAATTTTCAATAGGACTTGACAGAAAAATCTTCCCTTGGATTCTGCCTGCAAGCCCATTTGTGGCATCTCATGCCAGTTACACATTGTGAAACCCAACACTTGAAACAAATCTCTTTCTTGCCATATGGAAGGATTGAAGGATGTGGCTGTGGTGTTCAGCTAAATTAAAATTAAGGCACCAAATTGCTATTCAAGTTGTTTTAAACTTAGAGTTTAAAAAGATACATCTTTATAGATTTTCTAACTACTGAGAGAACAGGGCCAAATGCAACTTTTGAAAGAATGTGTTGAAGAACCTTGGAACAGTGCAGGAGAAAGCCCTCCTTTGTGTACCACAGAGATGGGCCTTTGATAACAGGGATACATTCAAAAGAGTCTCCTACAGATATTAAGAATTGTGGATTATAATGAGAAGGTGATGTTTGAACTTTAAAGATCAATTCCAACATCTTAAATTGCATCCAGTAAGCAATTGACAACAGTATAAATCTATTAGCATACAATCCCTGTCCTCTATTTCAGTGTATAGTTTAATTGCCATAGTTTGTACTAGCTTCAGTTTCTGGACATTATATTAGTCAAGGGTTGAGGTGCTAACTGAGATGCAAATACATATTGCTAATTGGACTGGCCCAAGGAGACAGGCAGTGGGGCACTACACATAATAGTATAGAGGGCTTCTTATCACTCACACCTCCTGTGAATCCAAAGAGTAATGAGGATCTACTGTTTCAGAGAAAATTCAAGCTCATCCCAAACTGGTTCAACCTTAGTCCCCAAGGTTAATTTTTAGTTTACTAACTGCACCTTGACTGAATTTCAGCATGTTCTCTCTTCAACATTTGATTTGAGAGTTGTAACATAATGGAGAATTTAGCCAATGGAATATTTTTGCCACTATATAAACATCTCACTGTATAAAATATGATAGGAACATCATACTGTATAAAAGGCGTTATTGTTAGGTCTCTCTTTCAGTATCATATCAAGGCAATATGCATGACAGTTACCTTCCTAACAATCCTAGTAGGTTGGTTAGATTAGAATGAGAGAAATTGATTTTAGATCACTCTGTGTATTTCAAGACTGACCAGGGATTCAACCTATCCCTTCTCAGCTAAGATACAATATCTCAGTAACAAGGGTTTCAACAATCCAGACAGTTAAATAATAATTCAGGCTCAACAGTAATTTGAGACTCATATTTTGTTTCTTGTAATCCAGCTCTTTCTTATCTACTAGATCTTTTCTTTTTCTTTGTTTTCTTATCTTTTGGTAATGAAAAGAAATCCCTTCACAACAATTGATACCATCTGAATGACTTCTCTAAAGGAAAAGGCTAGCACACTATCCCACGTTATTGTTTACAGTAAAATTTTCTCACTTTCTTTTGTCTAGCTACATGGTAGATGGACACCTGGAAAAAATATATTCAGATGCAATGACATGTTTATACTAATGAAAATCAGAATCATGCAGGCAAGGGAAGTAGTTTTTCCTATGACACTCCATGGAAGTTAAAATTGGACTTTGAAAAAGCAGGATAAAGTGAGTATTGGTGCTTTGAGGAAGATTTCTGAGGCTACTACAGATAGCCAAGAAATTAAAAATTGGATTATAGAACAATCAATCTCACTTGAAGAAAGTGACTCGAATTATCACATTTAAGATACAATATACACTGGATACAGCTTATGCATCGAAGACAAATTCCTTGTGTGTCCAATCACACTTGGCCAAAGAAGAATATTGATTGTATTGTCATATGCCAAGCCCAGCTCCTTGAGATGTCCGTAATACTGGGAATAAGGGACAAAGAAGGATAGTTCAACATAATTAATAGATTTGGTTATAGCAGAGATGGGTGGCTGCTAAGAGTTGAAATTGAATTGATGACACATTGTCAACCCTTCAAAGTAGGCTAAGTCAAGAAACATGCTGTAGAAATTCCAGGAATGCTACTTTATTATAGTAAGATATCTTGAAAGACTGGCCCATCCATACCAAGCAAAAACATGGCAGATTTTTTAAGTGTCTTTTTCATGTTTCTTTTTATCTCTGGGCTGTATAATCTCTTGTCCAAGTCTTTCCTTGATGGCTTCCTCATATCTTCCCCAAAGTGAGCCCTATATTTCTTTACCCATATAATCAGTCAAATCTCTTTCCATCCCCAAGGGTTGTGGGATGAGAAAAGATATAGAGTAAGGTGCTTTTATTATCCAGCCTGCCCTCAGTTTCCTGGGGCCATTTGACTTTACCCTCCAAATTCTTTTCCCAGGGTTCAAAGAGAATATTCAGTGATGAATAATTTCTATTTTCAAATTCCTTTTATGAGACCTACTTTCCAGGTCTACTTCCCATTCTTCTATAATATCTCTAGGTCATGATTTAGTTGGTAGCTCTTAAAGTCTCCCTCTTCCCTGTGTACGCTCAGCGCAATGAGTTTTTCTCCTAAACTGGGTTTTCCAAAGAAAATGTTGGCATAATTTGCTTGTGCAGCATCCAGCAAAGGTTTGTGTCTCAGATTGCACTGCCCTCCAGTTTCCACTTAGCCATATGTCCAGATCACAAGACGTCTGCCTGTGTTTCATTTAGTAAACTCATATGTTGGAGGGAGGTAAAGTACAG